GTATCTCAGAGCCGAAACTGCTCTTTGTCGGTGGAGGAAACATGGCTGCAGCGTTGGTGAATGGATGTATCACTTCAGGTTACGTTTCTTTCTGATCTCTTCGTTTGAAAATAACAACAAAGCCTTGGTTACGAGTAATAATGGTTTGGCGGAGAGAGTAATTAACAATTTGTACTCTTTGCTTTCAGGATTTGCTGCTCAAAACGAGATTGCCATCAGTTGCCGCTCTGCAAGTACACTTGACAAATGGAAGGTACTATATCGCTGAGCACTTTTTTGAGAAGTTCATTCCTAAGTTGATAAGGCTACGGAAGTTATCAGCTCCACAAAAAATCGCATGCGTTCGCAATCACATGTTTTTTAAATCTTTGAACTCCACTGCTTGCAAACCAAGAAGAGCATCGAGTTCTACGTCTTGCTAAAGAAGAGGAGAAGCATATTTTTTGCAGAAGGTATAAGCTAATCAATGGTGTGGCCTATTTTAATAATTGATCCGCTTAGATTGTCAGCGATAAAAATACTCGGTATTGTTTATCATATCGGTGTTGTTCTGCCCTTTTTTACCCTGGTAGGCAGTGAGTTGTAATGCGAACAAAGAGCACTCAAATTAACCGGTTCCAATCTCATTTGAAAGAAACGGAACTGGTTACAGTATATTTGAGCATTGCCTAAATGAACATAGTTTTGATTTTAGTTTTAAGCATTTCTGAGCCTTTTTCATGACTATTTTTTGCAATTATTTTTTCTTTTCAGTGCCAAGGACTTGATGATGTATTCACATCTACTGCTGACATGGTAAGAACGTTTCCTCATGGTAAGTATATTATTTTAAAGAAGGAGCGTTCAAATATGTAGTGCTTTGCTACCTTATCTCGACGGCTGAGCGCGTAGTAAGACTGAGAAGGTCGCACCTTTGATGTTGTGCTTAGCTTCTGAGCATTCATTTTGTTTCAGTCTGTTTGGTTATTCATTATTCCCTTCGCCAACACTAAATGCATTGTTAATATGAATATTTAGGAATTATCGTTTTGGCTGTCAAACCCCAAGCCCGACATGACGTTGTTGAATCTCTGTTGTCCGAGAATGTAAAGTTAGTGAATTGCCCATTGTTGATCTCAATCTTGGCTGGTGTCGATGAAAAGCTTTTGAAAAAAGAGGTAAGGACTTTGAATTTTATTCTCACTTCTTATATTTCTCCATCTCAAGTTTTTTTCTTATCATTGGCTCTGTTGCTCGACTTGTTCTCATTAAAAATGTAGTGGAATTTTTGTATTATTTTGCTCATGCTGTTTTGAATTGTCATCAAAGATACGGCGTTTTTAGCTGAAATAACCGAATTTTTCATTATTTCCATCCAATCTCTTCTTCTTTTGGCTTCTGCCTCTTATTGAGCTTCATATTTGTTTTT